ACTACTGCTGTAATAAACAGTACTTTGTAGTAAATAGATAAACTAACGTATGTCGGTTATTGCATACTGCTGTAGCCTTTCTGCACGTATACTTGTTTTTCCTAAATACTGCTGTAAAAAGCCCCCCTCGAACGACTATGAATTTCGCTCGAACAGGGAGCTTTTATGTGTTTAACGGGTAGTCTTTCTGTGTGCATATTTGTTTTTCCTAATATATGTATTTTTCTAAATTAAACCAGCAACTACTGTCAACATGACATATTGCGCCGTGTTCCCTGTGCAGGCCACATGTAAATGTACCTACGCAGATGTTTTTGTGCTAAGCACCAACTGGTATCACTGATATAAATCATCAGTGTATAGGCTTAAACAAACTCGAAATACGTCAAGTACCCAGCTGGTTTTCCTCACTGTAAAGACTTCAACACATCCCCTTCGAGTGTAGTTATACCTCGAACGGGTAGTCTTTCTGTGTGTATATTTGTTTCTCCTAATGTAGTGTACGTGTAGGCCAACGCCGCCTGCTTTGACCGCGACTCGCACACGAACACCCTTCATTTTGTCCGAAAAAGTGCTGTACGTATTCGTCCCAACTGCAGGAGCAGCTGTGCTGAGATCCACCTCGCTCGCCAACTTTTTTATTGTTTTTTTTTGTGTCTCCCATTATTGGATTCTGTCGTCTGCCCCTCTGGCCCCTATCCTCCACTTCTACCGGCTAGACGACCCAACCGGGGTCACATAGGAGGGGGGGGTTGGACCCCCTCCTGCGGTTCCTGCCTGAAATGCGAGGTGTACTCGAATCAAGATCTACAGTACCTATCTCACCGTAGAAAGTTCGCAGTGGATGTCCCTGAGGAGCGTCAGGGTTCCTCCGGTCAAGGTAGCGCCGGCCGGGATGGCCGCGCAGGTACGGGTCCAGGTGTCCCCGTCTCCGAATGGGCGAGCTTGGGCCACCGGCACCGTGAAGGCAAGGAAAGAGGCGAGGATGCCACACAGCAGCATCACGAGGATATTCATCTTCTCAGTCAGGTCGTCAGTGTAGCAAAAGTCGCCACACGGCTAGATTAGGCTCGATCTGGGTGAAGAGCACAGCAGATAAGAGCGCAGCAGGTACCTGCTGTGCTCTAGGTGGCAGTGGTGTTGAGGTTCTGGGGGAGGTGACGACAGAGAGAGCCGACCACACGTACAGGGATTAGCAGGGAAGCGTTACAACTTTGCGTCCGATCACGTCTCTGGTATGGAGTTAACCCTCCTGGTGCTCACAGGACGTTGCAGCTTTTCGGATATCTTGCCGTGGTATCTCCATCGATTGCTACAGACAACAAGAAGGAAGTTCAACCGACAACATGTTTTCTCACAAAAGTTGGAGCTCTCCGAGACGCTTTGATGTCGACGTGCTGCCTTGGTGCCTCCAATTCACTTTCATGCGTGCGCTCTATGAGCAACATCATGTTCCGTGAAGCTGTTTTTTTAGACGTTTCCGCTATTTCTGTATGCGCAACCTCCATCGCATGGCAAACGTGGGGCGGAATCACTGCCACCTCATGCAGCCAAATAACCCGACAACAGATACGGATATGAAGCTCGAGGGAGATTACTTTTTCACCGTTCTCCCGTCCAGGCTGAAGCCGAATCCTCGGCATGTTTCTTGCGGGTCGACAAGCCTCCCGGAATGAAAACAACCCGTTGTGGCTGATCTCTCTCTTCTCAATTATTCAGTTGTTGTTGTTGTTGTTGTTGTTGTTGTTGTTGTTGCTGTTGTTTGGTGTGTTCACATAAAAAAACGTTTCGATCTCTCTCTACCCAGTACCTTCGTATGTCCGTACTGATACAACACTCGACGCGGTCGATTCCCGTGGTCGCAGGCGAACTTACCCTAAAAAGGTACACTCAAATATAATGGCCCCGAGGGGTCCGCAAGTCAATAGGAATCAACGACAGATATTCTGGAGTCCTCCACTCCCTCTGCGCGCAATGCGAGGTATAACAACTGAGACCAGAGGAGTCACCATCACGGGCCGGAGAGAAAGAGGTACACCCCATTGGTTCAATCTTGGTACTTCACAACGCAAGCAGAGACAAGGCCATCTGGTACAAAAAAGAGATGAAAAAAAAAGGAAACAGCACTAGAAGGAAAGAGAAATGAAATAAAAGAACGAGGACAAAAAGGGACCAGGCCGAAAATAACAAGAAATAAGAGACAGAAAAAGGCACAGGGTGGAGAGACCACTAACGACAAGCAAACACGCAAACATTTCAGTGGAGGGCCCTCAATAACAACGGTCGGAATGTTGTACCCGGCGCATCGACCGGCGCTCAGAGGAACCATCGGCGCTAGACTATGTAGTCAACGTACAGATTGACTTGGTGTCGTTCGTACCCAGCAACTTCACCGGCGCTACACAGGGCCACCGGCGCTAATCAATTTTGCTCCCCCCCCACACTGTATGTGTTAAGGAGGACCCGATTCGCAGGGTATCCGTCGATTGACTTTTACCTGAATCGGTAAACCTTCGCATATGGCGTCAGCCGGATACCGGTTTAAATCTTCTTGGGTGCACACTTTTTCTCCTGACTTGGACATTTTCCCATGGACACAATGTGTGTCAGTCCTGAGAACATCTCTGGAGTCGATGCTAGAAAGAACCTTGTGACACTTTCATCGAATTACCCATCCTGGCCACAAGGGGTTCCCAGTTGAGGGTAAATTCTGTGGGTAGAGAGTGTTGAGGAGGACCCGATTCGCAGGGTATCCGTCGATTGACTTTTACCT